GTTCAATTAGGATCGTTAGATTCTATGCAGGCAAACAATTAAGAACGTAATTATGAACACGAGAATGGCTTTGAATGTGTCGTATGATTAAAACTTCAACACCTCAGAAGAGCTCGATTAAGAACTTCGACTGTAGAGGTGTTTAGGGTTACAAAACAATAAACGTAATAATCAACTGCATCTAATGCATACATGCATGCATATTTATAGTATAACCCTACTAGATAATCACGGATGGACAGGCCCAATCCGGATACAAAACATAAGCCCATGACGCAACACAATTAGACTCAACAGAACAATTAAAATCGGAACCCATCAAAGGAATTACAAGTGAATGATGAAGACCAGAAAATGTCAAAGGAAGAAATCAAAACCGCAAGCCGTGAAAGGAGATGGTAGTTAGCAATTCAACGATTTGTAGACAGACAACAGAAGTCATTGCGCTGCACAAAAAGAGAAGGAAAAGACCGGAGGAAGGCGACGACAGGCCTTAGGCGGGTGCTTATCGGAAGAATGTCGGGAGAGACAGACAGATAACGATGAGAAAGGCGATAACTCTTGAAACGAACGGTGCCATGTGTAGATGAAAGTTGTAGAAGAAGGCGGTGGAAGCAGATGAAACTAATTGGGCAACATAGGTGGTGGAGGGTGAATTGGTAAAAGAGGTAAATGTAAAATCCAGCTTTTAAGGGAGGTAAATGCAAAATCGAAAATAGATGTGGTAATCGTGTTAAACCGGAAAAAACTTGTGGTCAAATTCATATTTTCAAAAGCTTCCTGTTCACCAACTTTTTAACAATTAATAGTATATACAAATACATTGATAACAATATCATTTTCATAATTTAATGATATGTAATGCAATGCATGATTCAATCACAAACAAAAAGATAGTAAGTTCATACCCTTATTTTGAGATACGCCGAGGGGCTTACTCTTAGGCTGAGTATGTAGGACAAGACCTAGTAGGTGGGTTGAGGCCATCTTGGACTCAAACCTACAAATCCTGCCAAGGAAAATTCTGGGATTGCAAAGTCCACCAAAGGAACCATTTTGCATACCTTTCTAGTTTCTACCATTTTTTTGTCCTCCACATTCTCTCTATTTACGTTACAATGAAATAAATTAAATAGAATGGAAAAGGTCTAATCTAGTTACAATAAACACACTAGATCAAAAATGCCAAAAACCATTACATTTAAGGTAATGAACAACAACCTAAAACGATCAACATTCACAAATTTTAATACTTAACACGTAAAAATGAAACCACTAAACTTTAAATATCAGCGTATTTAAAATTTTGAAATTTCCACTTCTTTTATTCAGTTCATCAAAATCGATGAACGTGAGAAAAAAAATATAAAGGTAATCTAGAGATCCCAACAGAGACTCTAATACCATAAAAATTATTAAACACATTTTAAGCAAAAAAATCCAATGGTAAGTTATAGTTTATAACTAATTCCCTACTCTATCAAATAGGATGATATATGATTAACCAAAATGCATCATAAGGCTTAATTATATCAACTTTCCACGTAGTTGTAGGGAGATTCTTTAATGTAAACCTATAGATCAAGTTTGATCTTTGTATATTAGTACCCATTGGTTGACTCCAATCAGAAATCCAAGTCACTTTCTTCCATCTTCTAGGACTGATTTTTATTGTGTCAATAATTAGAGATTGACTAGACCTATCTGTCACACCCTAGACCTACGACGAAAATGTTGGGTTGTGTAACGTTCGATGTTGGATCATAGATATTGCATATACATTAAAAATTACAAAAACAATATATAACATAAATATCACTTCCATTAAGGTTTAAATATTACATCAGAAAATGTTTTGAAGTACTAGAATATCTAATACAAATAGTACATTGACAGTTTAGGCATAACATTATATAATAAGGATAACAAGCTTTCGGTAGTTCCATTGATCATTTATTTCTTCAAGGAGTGCAAGCTTCCATCTCTTGGTTTCTTAGGAATACATGCGGTTTTGAAAACGTCAACATTATGTTGGTGAGCTCACAGGTTTGAAATATTATACCTTGAGAATACTTTTGTACTAATTATTTAGTTGTATTAAGTATTTTTAAGCAAAAACGTTGATGTGCTTTTAAACCAAAAGTGTATTTACAAATAGGGTACTTGATACTAATAGTTGTATTTTATTAAATATCATAAGCATTTCAATTTTTTTCCTCCTGTTATTATTCGTAATAATGTATTTGTATACTACATTTACTATTAGGGGTTCCCCTAATGGTAGTTGTTAAGTTTATCACTTCCTTTAAGGCTCATGGACAATGTTACAATGAGATCCCATAATCGAGCTATTGACATAATATTGCATCCCCGTACGGCACTTCATCGGAGGTCGTAAAAGAAAACTTTGACAGTTATCCCTGTTTTTGACTTGACCTCCATGGTTGTAGCTAGCAACCCGCGGGTGGGGGTGTCTACCCTTATATAGGCCTATACATAACTCTCCTATTCACTTAACATTAACGACTATATGCCAAGGTTCTAGCTAAAATTATTAGCTAAGGTGGTGAATTGTTGTCTCATTAAACCTTTGTGTTGTTTAGCCATTAAAGTATGAACATGATTCCAGTGGGTTGTCGCATAATTATACTTATATATAGTTATATTGTTATAGTCATTATAAAGAGTAACATAATGATAATGAAGTTATTTTTATGAATTTGGGGCAGAGTAATGACTGGTTACAATGCTTATAAAAGTTGGGCAGTGTAACGACTAGTTACAATGATTATTCGTATAAGTTGACCAGAGTAACAACCAGTTACAATGCTTCTAAAAGTTGGGCAGCGTAACGACTAGTTATAATGATTATTCGTATAAGTTGGGCAGAGTAACGACCAATTACAATGCTTAAAAAGTTTGGCAATGTAACGACTAGTTCAAATGATTATCCTCAAAAGTTGGGCAGAGTAACGACTGGTTATTTAGATAAATACGAATAATCGATAATAATATAATTAATTTATGATAAATCATAAAATAAATTATTATCTAAGCATGTATTCCCCCTACGGAAAATCAGTAAAAAGGTTTCGTGAAACTCATCCTTGAAGCGTGCTTTGGTTGGCTCGGGGTATTGTTGTTGAAGGCGTCGAGAGGCTCAGGGCCGCTCGGGGAGAGGGTATATCTTTTAGACGGATGAAAGAGGGAAAAATAGAAGGAATTGGTGTGTCGATTGAACTGGACTCAAGTTGCAATTTATAGTGATTTTCCTAGGAGCATGCGGCGTTTTCTATAGGTGTGTGGCGCGCATCAATGCGTTGGCTCCACCCAACGCATGACACATGTCGGCTTCCTGTTGGATCACGTCTGCAACATCTGTCGTGAATCTAAGTGTCATGTTGCACATGCGCACGCTGAATTTTGTAAAATTCATCTTTTGTATACAATCTTCTTTTCCGACATACTTTATATCCACACGTAGCTATCAACGAGTACTACATTTCAGTCTTGAATAGACTAGAGCCAATTTTGACTATGAAGAGAAACTTATTAGAGACTAAATTTCAAACCCCGATAAACTTTCATAAATTTTGATTTTGTAAAGAACTTATTAAGAACTGAATTTTAGTTTTTGATAGAATTGCACCAATTTAGCATTTGAAAGCAAACTTTTGAAAGCAAACTTTCTAAAGACTGAATTTCAATCCTTAATAAACAAGCATTATTTTACATTCGAATGGACTATAAATTAGTATATATGATTGATTATTTAGTTATAGATATATTAGAGACCAATTAATTAGTCACAAATACTATTTTGAAGGAAGCTTATTAGGGACTGGCGTTAAGTGTTAAAGTAACCTAATTTTGAATTTTGATGAAAAATATTTAAATTCCCGTCCCACATAAACATGTGCCGGTATTATTTTTTAAGGAACTTATTAGTGGTTGAATTTGAAGTCTCTGGGACATATTATAGTCATAGATATATATCATATATCGAGACTCAAATGACTCAAATGTGTAGCTTTACCTTATTAATAATAATATATAATGATGATAATACTAATATTAATTAATAGTATAATACTAATACCAATAGTAGTGTTAGTATTATTTTTATATCAACCAACTTTTTTTATCACTCACCAAACATCAATCTCCGTTGGAGGAGCAGTACCATTGTTAATAATAACTAGTAAAGAACCCGCGGCTATGCCGCTTTTGGGGTAATATGGAAAAAATAGGCAAACTTTAAAAGATATGTGCTTAAATTCTAAATCACCATAAATAGGGAAAGAAAATCGACAACTCCTAAAATTAGATGTCAAAAGTGTACAACGAAAAAAATGGACAATGGTAGAGAAAATCCAAAATGTTGTGGCAATAATATTAAAGTTGTTAACGTTGGGAAAATATGTTGGCAAAATTTTAAAGGAGGTTTTTTTGTGTTTTTTATGTCAAAATGTAAAACTTTTGACTACAAGAACAAAAAGTGTCAAATTCATTAAAGAATTGTGGCAAAAACACCAAAATGCAATAGTTTTTAATATAAGGACTAAAAGTGTCAAAGTCATTAAAGATTTGTGGCATAAACCTTAAGGCACAAAAACTTAATCAAAAGGCAAAAAAATGTAAAAATTTTGACTTTAGGGACTAAAAGTGTCAAGTTCAGCAAACTTAAGTGGCAAAATCCTAAAGGCTAAAAGAATATTATTCCTAAGCTCCTTTGGATTTAATATATATATATATATATATATATATATATATATATATATATATATATATATATATATATATATATATATATAAAATGTATTCTTTTTTCATGAGTAAGGTATGTAAATAAGATTTACCGAAATGAAAATGATATTGCTGATAAGAGATCGAACGAAGCCTTAGCATCTTTTGAATACCAAAAGTACACGTAAAGTGAAACAAAAGAATATTAATCAAGAGCAACGCAACACTTTCTTGATTTAAATAACCTTTTCGGGGTTTGATCTAATTAAGAACCAAAAAATTTATCAAGAACTCAAGGTTGTATTATTCTTTTGATACCGGATCAGATGCCTTGAACTGTGAGATCGAAACTCTGTACACATGAGAGAGAGAGAGAGATTTTTGCGGTTTTGACAACATCTCCTTACATACGTGGTAGCTCTTTGTTTGGGTCAATAATCAACCCCCTCCCTCTCTCTCTCTACATTTTTAACAAAAAAAACAAAGTTAAATTAGGTTATGCAATTTTTTTCTATCAAAGTATTGGAGGGATCAAGGAGATACTATAGAGATTATAATGGAAGGCATCCTCGGATTATTGAAGTTGCGAGTGAAGAGAGGGATCAATCTTGCTGTTCGTGACGCCAAAAGCAGCGATCCTTATCTCGTTGCTACCTTGGATGGCCAGGTCTCTCTATTCCACCAAAAAAAATTCTTAAATGATTTACGTTTCTTGCTTGACATATATTATATATTGCTCTTCTACATCAGAATCTTGCAAGAAGTAATTAAATCGATTCCTTATTATTGTTGTTGTCTTCATTTGATCATATAACGTTTTAAGATGAATCATATTAATTTGAATATTTTTATGTTATCATATATTGCAATACCACCTTTCAGCCATATATACAGAAAGGTATTTGCGGAAACAATAAAGAACAAGAATTCTGAGATGAAGAACAATGAAATTTTTTATGTTATATATTGCAATGATCTAGCTAGTTTTAATGTTCTTTCTGAAATGGGACAATAAAGAAAAGGAATCTGGGACAAAATTTGAATTTCAAGTTTCTGTTAGAAAGGGATACTAAAGGCCATGGTTCCCGTTTATAAATTCCATTTAGTGACCAAGTACGCCATTCATAGACACCCTTAAATGTTGCAAACAATGTCTTGTTTAAGCTTTTATCGAAAATAGAAGTTTTTTAAGATTCTATACGAGATAAGTTTTCATTCAAAGGATCATAAGTATCTTTATCTGTTTTGGATGTCTCTAAATTGCATCAATGTGAAACAATAACGGAAAGAAAATCAAACTCCGAAACTCTTGCTTTCCATAGTCAGCTCTCATCGAAGGATTTTCGTTGTAATGCAGAAAACAAAGACTAAGGTTATCAAGGGGAACTGCAATCCTGTCTGGGATGATGAATTGACTCTCACCATGAGGGATCCCAAAACTCCAATTAGTATTGTAAGTATCCGTCTTTCGAAAATCTTGACTCCAAATAAAAATCTGACGACACTATTCTCAATCATACACAACTAGAGTTCAATATATTCTATTATTTTTGTTCAAAAGCAAATTTGTTTACTATATTTCAGGCTGTGTACGACAGGGATAGGTTTAGCAATGATGATAGTATGGGTGTGGCAGACATAGATGTAAAACCGTACATTGAATGCCTTAAAAAGGGTTTGGACTTGAAAAACGTCCCAAATGGTACCAAACTCGAACGTATCCAACCCAAAAAGCAAAACTATCTATCCGATGAGAGCTGCATTGTTTGGGAGAATGGAAAAATTGTACAAGACATGGTCGTTCGATTGACAGACGTTGAATGCGGTGAAGTTGTACTCCAAATAGAGTTAATTCCTGTTGCGGGTTGTAAATTACATGTCTAGAAAACCATATATGGTTGGATTTTTTTTCCTTTATTGCCTACTGTGTATGAAATATAAGCTAGAATATATGTTTACATTATATAAACAAGATTACACTTACGTGATGTTATTTTTCAATTAAAAAAATGTAGGTACTATATTTATAATGAGAGTTAATTTGTATTTTGGAATACAATGACACAAAGCAAAGAACTAAATCGCTATATGTCATTGTACTTCACCTGAACATACAATGGCAAATTGGGGGAAAAGATAAAAAGAAAGAAAAAAGAATAGAAAGGACACAGAGATCGAAAGTAGATCTAAATCAAGGCATGCATAGTTAGGGACGGAGCCAGAATTTTACAATAAAGGGGGCTTACATCATAATAAGGTTAACCAATATTTTATAACCGGATAACGCAATATAGTCTATAATTTAAAGGAAAATTTGAGATAAAAATTAATACATAATTTGAATATCTAAAAAAAATTAATATATGCATACCAACCGTGTCCAAATCAAAAAAATTAATGATAAAAAGCAATAGAAAAATTAAAAATAAACCTAAAAGTAATAATTAACTATTTTATCAATAATAAAAATTAAAACTAACAAAAAAGTTATAAAAAATTATCATCCTAACAAAGTCAATAAAATAAATAAATCACAACTTATCATCCGATAAATATTACTTACATAACAAGAAAACACAAAAATATATAGATTATTAAATAAATGGTTTATAAAATATGATTTTATAAGATTTAATAACATCAACTCCTTATTATTTATTATCAATGTGTTAACAAAACAGTAAAAATGGTATAAGAAATGTTAGCTGTCAAAAAGCAATTATTTCAACGGTAAATCCTTTATTTTTAGGTAAATCTAGTCTATGTTGATAAAGGATATGCAACATTCAACCCTTGTTATTATGAAAATCAAAAATAATATTTATGAATTTAGTCAAGGGGAGTAATGTATATAAATTGGAAAAGCTGAAGGGAGTAATGTATATAAATTAGAAATGTTGAGGGGGGCAAAGCACCTGCTCGCCCCTGTACTCCCTCCGCCATTGTGCATAGTCGCAAAAGAGAAAGATTTTTGCAAAAAAATTGTGCAGTTTGAAGAAGGGTTAATGCTACCAAATAGTAATTTATGCACCAAATCATCAATCGTTTAATTCTATTTATACTATGTCCTTAAAAAATGTAGTATTTTTTGTGTCAATGTCACCGTTAGTGATTTATGACCGGGTAAATCGGTTATATGTTGATGATTTTGCATGTTTATATTATCCTACATGGCAAAAATTATAGGTTTTAATCCTTGGTTTAAGTTTATTTTAGGATTTGTTTTGTTTAATGAGTTAAATAATTAGGTGGAATGGGTCATGTTAGGAATGAGTCTTTGGGCTCTTTAGAATGTTAGATGTGGTGATTAAAATTAGGAAAGGTAGGCTTAATTAGTTTTTGTTTAGAGTCATTAGGTTTTGTAGGCTATAAAAACATTCTGTTTTCTGAATAAAAGTGCAGCAACATAGAGTCACGAAAATCTCTTATTCCTCCATCTATTCCTCTTTCTTGATTCCTGAAAATCACGAATCAAGTGTTGTTTTTGTATTGTCTGTTGTTGTAGTAAAATGTAAATTAAAGGGTTTGATTTCCAAAATTTGGTATCAGATCCTAGGCTTGATTAGAAGAAAGCAAGTGGTGATTTCATGACAAATCGCATGAAGGATTGAAGATATCACTACTCTAGACAAGGCCGCCAGAAAGAAAGAAAGAAAGAAAGAAAGAAAGAAAGATAGAAAGAAGAAAGAAGACTGTGATAACCTGTTGTTACTTGAGAAAGAAAGAAACATAGGAATGTACAAACTTTTACCAAATTACTTGCAAAAATAGACAGCAAGTTTAGGAAAGAAGAATGACAGGAGGAGCAAAAGAAATTGTAATTTAAGGTACCGTTGTACCATTTCAGTGCCTTAGATTAACTGAGACCAATTACACCACTTGGTCTAGTATGATTGAAATTGTGTTAAGGGCATATGGACATTGGGATGCTATAACTAAAGATGTGATTGAAGAGAAGAAAATTATACCACTAAAGGTATAATTTTCCAAACTCTACCAGAAAATGTTATCTTGCAGGTTGCTAACCACAAAGAGTGCCAAAGAAGTTTGGGAATCAATCAAGGTTCGGTATATAGGAGTCGAACAGGTGCAAAAGGCAAGGTTACAAACCTTAAGAAATGAACTAAAGATCCTAAAGATGAAGGACAACGAGTCAATCAATGACTTTTCGGGCAAAATAAGTGGTATTGTTGCCAAATTCAATAGCCTTTGCTCAACTCTTGAAGATGAGGTGATTGTAAGGAAGATTTGTCAATTCGAATCCAAAGAAATACTTGCTAATTGAAGCTCCTATTGACAAATATTCCGATCGTGCAACTATGTCATTTGAAGAAGTAGTTGGAAGGGTTAAAGCTTATGAAGAAATGCTTCAAAGTCATGAAGAAAAAGAGGAAGATCAAGATCAACTCATGATGGAAAGTAAACAAAGGTATGGTGAAAGTAGTGGACATGGAAGAGGATGTGGAAGAAACTTTGAAAGAGGTGGAAGAGGTCGAGGTGAAAAAGTGGATTTCGGTGCTTTAATTGTGGAGACTTTGGACACTTTAGTTATGAGTGCACAAAGTGGAATGACAAATACAATAACAAAGAGGCCGACTTGATCTAAGAGGAAGAACCGGCATTGCTTTGATGAAGAAATGAGTCAAGATTAAGGGGTGAATGTAGGTTTTAATCTTGATAGTGGTTTAAGTTTATTTTAGTATTTGTTTTGTTTAATGAGTTAAATAATTAGGTGGAATAGGTCATGTTAGGAACGAGTCTTTGGGATCTTCAGAATGTTAGATGTGGTGATTAAAATTAGGAAACATGTAACAATCGATAAAAATTCACTACAAATAAAATGACATTTAGTGGCATAGAAAAAGTGTCACTAAAAACCGAAAAAAGTGCCACTAAAAGCCCCTTAAGCAATCAGCGGTACAAAAAAAAGTGCCACTAAAAGCGTTGCCACTAAAGGCCTTTAGTGGCACTTTTTGGTTGTGTCGCCGCAGTGCCACTAAAAGCGTTGCCACTAAAGGCCTTTAGTGGCACTTTCTGGTTGTGTCGCTGCAGCCTTATTAGGTTTTAGTGTCACTTTTCAATTACGCCACTAAATCATTTATAGGTTTTAGTGGCACTATTTTTATGACACTATTATATTGCTAAAATAAATATTATTTTTATACTTTTAGTGGCACTTTTCAACGGAAAAAAAATATATTAATAATTTAGATCCAATTTTATTTAAAATTTAAATGCAATATAAAATAATAATAAGAAAATTAACATAATAAATAGAAACACAATATCATTACTTAAAGTTTACTTGTCTAACAATATTCACTCCCTATATCAATTATAATACGATCAATATAAATGTACTCTATTACATTTAGCTAGTCTATTCCAATACAATCAACTGTATTACAATACATACATGTACTCTATTCCAATACTATTCCTATACACCCAAGTGTAGTTAGCCTACAAAGCCTTCATTCGTTCCAAGGCATGACTGAATTTGACAAACACCATGTGATTCATGTGAAGCTACAAGAACAAAGAGAATAAAAGAAAGTAAGAATTGTAAAATCATGGAATTTTAGAAATAATATCTAATAAACAGTTTTTCAGCTGAAAATAACAATTTTTTAGTATGAAAAACAGATTTCCAGCTATAAAAACCCAGATTTCCAACAATAATAAAAAAATAGATATTTAGTAAAAAACAAAATTTCAGTAAAAATACATATGAAAAAAACGTTACATGTTTAAAGATACTTTAGTTTCTCTCGCAACTTATGCTCCATCTTTGAAGCATCAGCCAGTAAAATGAAAATAAATTCCAAAGTGAGAAAAGATTTTGAATGTCTTACTCATAGGGTTTTCAAACTGGTTTTTCCTTTTTCTACTTCGAGCTCCCATGGTGTAATCAGTTGCCTCATTCATAATCATGTTAGCATCCAGAATCTCTATAAATTATGCATCAATTTAGACATGATTAAGCCAATCAAGAACTATAGCAGGAATTTATAGTTGGATATCGTATAATATGGCACATATATAAACAAGAAAAAAACAAGAAAAGTATATTAGGAAGTGTAGCGCTATAAGAATTACCAATTTCCTGTTAAATAAGACAAACCATGACCTTTATATTCTTCACATCTTCTTATGTACAACTATGAAGTCCTGTGCTATTTCTCTAGAACTTGTGATTCTACTATTGTATACTTTTGGAGAAAAGTTTTTCTTTTCAAAAAACTCAAATATGTTGACTAGTTTCGGGTACCCAAATGATGCTTGTTGCAAAATCATACAAGAAAAGTCCCCTCACTTTTTGTTTATCAAGTTGCATTTGCTTTCACATGTATAGGTTCCTAACAGTATGTAAGAGTGACCAACACATATTTGAGATACAATTATTTAGTATTTAAATGTTTTTCCTTTGAAGATCATCTATAAGTTTGATATGTTTTTCCTGAGGTGTATGCAATTTTCCTTTTAAATTATTTCCTTTATAACCCAATCCTTCTAAGAAAATACAGGGAAAAAGTTCAACTCGCCGAACGCAAACCTGAAGCTACATGGGTGGTAGTCCATGCCTAGCTCTTTGAAGTTTCCTTTTATGTAGTAGTAGTGAATTGTGGAAAATTGGACTTACTTACCAATACCTATAGTAAATACAGAAGTTTAGAGATCATGAACATAAGATGTGATTCAATAGAATTTCTAATTAGAAATATGAAGATCATTAAACATAAGATCTTAATACCAACAATATTTATTTAAAAATCATCAAAAGTTAAAATTTCACCCAAATATCCTTTGAATCTTCGTCTTCCACCATGAATTCGGTCAGGACTTTCATCTTTGACTTCCAATTCTACATATCGAGAAATTATACGCCTCCTCTTTTATCCAGAATCTCCCTTGGTCCTCCTTAGTTCTAGACACTAGCCAGTCGGTTCCAGAAATCAGATGCAATTAAGCTATCAGGTGGAATAATGATGAATTAATGATTTTGGGGGGCGTGATTCATGAAGTCGTGAAGAACAAAGTACACCGTAAATCTTAATCGTCTAGCGCCCTACCATAATCAACAACTTTTTTCTGATTTCTCGTCCACTCCTCGTATTCTAGAGTCGGAGATGGAAGTTAGAGGAAAATTTCCGTCTGATTTCTAAAAGGAAAGAAGGGTTTCATACCTTATTCGAAGATGTATGGGCAGAGCGCGACAACAAGTAGTGCCAGGAGGCAGCGGTGGAGAGGTTGCAATGTCTGAACGACAACAATTTGGAGCCTGGAGTAAGTCGATGGCGAAGGAGGTAGCGATTAAGGATTTAGGGCATGGGTGGGAGACGATCGTATTTGGGAGCGTGGGAGGTAATCGGAAAGGTAATGGAGAAATAGAATATTTTAGTCTTTTAATCTCTTTGCCATGTAGAAATCAGACAGGGGGAAATTTTGGATAGGAGGGAATCAAAGTGTTGGCGGGATTTTATAATTTTTGGGAAAACATTTCCCCCCGCAACAATGAAGGTTGGATTTTCTAATTTTTGGAGACGATTAATATAGAAAATGCCACTGTATATTCAAACTTATAGTTGCACAATTAAAAGTGACACTAAAAGTAGGCTATAGTGGCACAAAATCAAAATGCCACTAAAACTTTGTACCACTAAATGTAATTTTATTTGTAGTGATCGATCAAAGTTCGACGGTCAAACCACCACGAACAGCTATGTGTTAAGGACCAATCGTGTGTAATTTTATGTTTATTATATATATTAAAGATATTATATTCATAATTACTTTTAGAACATCTCAAACTGTTCAAACCATCTATCGTTGAAGATCGAATCGAAAATCACAAAAAAATAATTTTATTAACGTTAAAAAAATAAATTTTTGCATTAAATATATCAGAGAGAGTTATGGATAATAAATATGACTAGATTACGTTCTCCTAATTTCGTGGATATAAAGAACGTCCAAAATGGAGATCGAATGAATAAGTTACACTCATTTTAAGTTATAAAATCAATATTTATTTGTTTTTCCTGAAACAAATTGTGCACTGGTCTGTTTGGAATAGTTACAAACCTCGTAAACTGCTATGAGAAAGACGCACCCTTTGTATATTTAGTGACCTTGACAAAACAGGTCCCTTTTTGTGTTAAATTAACCAAACAGCCCTCCAAATGTACTAGTCAATCAAAACCAGTCCTATTTGTTTAATTGATTACAAGTCAGCTCCTTGTTTGTACATTTTAACCAAAAACAACCCCTATATTGTTTTAAAATATCAAAACTGTCCTTTTTAACTTAATTTATCACAAAAATAGTCCCTTGTGTTAGTTAATTTCAAAACAACCCTTTTTGAATTTAAATTATAACAAATCAAGTCCCTTTTGTTTAAAATATTTCGAAAATAGTCTCGGGGTTTGTTTGAGCACAAAAAGGGCGTCAAGATGCGGCTTCTCACATGAAGCTTCACAAAAATGAACCAACTCCGAACACACGCTTCAAAGGTGAGTTTCTACGATCTTTCTTTTACAGTTTTAATATTTGGGGGAGAATACATGCATGTTAAATGAAGCTTTGATAATTTCAAGCTTTTATATGTTAAATTGCATCATACTTATTATTTGTCAAAGTTTATGAAATAGCAATTTAAAATGTTATAAATCATTAATAAATCATGCAAGTTAAAGTAGATTGCTAAAGATAATATACTTATACCATGTTGTGATATATGAATATAATTATTAAGAAAAATCACAAGATTATGAGTAGATTGATATAATAACACAAGTTAAGACTAAAGTTCACAAAAATGACGATTTTTATATGTATAAGTTAAAGTATATCATGGAGGCATGAAAAGATATAAAAATAACCAAAAATGTTAATTGCAAATAAATGAAAATACATTGTCATATTCGATGGAAAAGGCAAATTTATGAAATTGTATAATTAATAGTTAAGGTTATAGAGCATTAACTTTAATATATATAAGTTATGTAAAAATGAATGTAAACATTTTATATTAATTATAAAAATAAAACTTATTTTACTAAGTTATGAATTTTTATTGCAATAAATAACATGATCGACTTCAAGACTTAAGAGTCGTTATTTTTGAAATATTGTACTATATTGATCACGTGAATTATAAATATCATGGAAATTGTTGGTTTCATGTTGGTTGAAACTTGGAAAATATTATAAAAACAACCGTTATGTTGCCCCAACTTCGTCATAACGGACAATAAAATTTGGAAATCCTTTAAGTCTTACGAATCTCAAATACTAAAATACTTCAATCAAAGATTATTCTTGAAATACAAAATTATAATGGGAAGTTTAGGACTAGGATGCTTAGACACATTGTTAGGATCCAACACACCAGGGTCTCCCTGTAGCGTCACGTTGTTTCTAAAGCCATATAAGTTAGTTTCGTTTCCTAAGCCATTAAGGCTATGTTGTTGGGTATACTAAGACTGTGTATCTTGGTGAAAACCCTATATTTTTATAACTGTTAATCCATGAGGAACAAAGAACGACAAGTATAACATTCATATTATTAGACTTATATGGTTCGTCCGCCCGCCTGGAGTTGCTAGCTACAACCATCGTCTGACGAGACGAATTAGGCGCCGACGTTTAGTAATTATTTCTTCCACAACGTATTAAAACGTTGAGGATGACTACACTCGATTATGGAGCTAGTGTTGTGGTGTAGTGTCATAGTTCGGTTATGGGCTGACTTTCAGTCTTTATTTATTCCACTACGGATTAAAACGTTGAGGATAACTATCAGTACACTCGATTCTGGAGCTAGTGTTGTAGTGTAGTGTCATAGTTCGATTATAATTTGACGTTTATCTTTATTTATTCCACTACGTATTAAAACGTTGAGGATGACTATTAGTACACTCAATTATGGAGTTAGTGTTGTAGTGTAGTGTCGTAGTTCAACTATGAGTTCATTATAGATCACAGATTTGTTTTGTTACCGTATACAATTGATATTGGAATTATACAGGGTTTTTGTTCACTTATATTAGTTGAAAGAGAATGTATGTAGTGAGATAGTTGGAGACTCTAAACTAGTAGTGTCAATACCAGAAATTAAATAAGAAAACACTTAATAACTACTACAACACAATCCTACAAGTTTTGTAAACTCAAAATCTATGAGTTTTACATACAGACTTTACCATATCTTGTACAAAACTTCAAGAGTAAAGTTGGTTATTTCATGTTTTCATAAAGGGTAACATACCTTATTTTTATATAACTTGATATTCAAAATCTTTATATAAAAATGCATTTTGGTCATGAGAACCGTAAAAATTTGATATAATTATGACTTACTTATACGTATTTTGCCAAATTTTGTATTTTTGAACTTGAACAAATGATATTTTTAAATGAGTCCAAATACACTTTTATAACTCATTTATTTTATACTTTTGATAGAAAAGTACGTATTTATAAAAGTTGGACAACCAGATGAATTTTGTAAAACACATTTAGTTATAAAAGTACTTTGTGTCAAAACCTGTAGAACTCACCAACAATTTTGTTGACGTATCTTAATGCATGTATTCTCATGTTATTTAGCAGGTCGAAAGAGTTTACATAGAAGACTCTCAGTTATTGTAGCATGTATTTGTAAACGCCAAATTGTTAGACGTGTTTCGAGATTTAGCAATAGCATTTGTCAATGCAATTTCTATTTCGGTAATAATAAAAGATTATATTTGTACTGTTCAATGTATGTTTTGTTGGGAAATTTAGGGTTTGTGGTGGAGATCTGGATACCAACTTGGATCGTGATATCACTTTCCGAACTGATATTTCTACCCTATGCTTGGGTTACAAGAAATTCAGCCTAGGATAATCCAAGTGGACACTTACGTTTCTAGGCACAGAAGACGTAAGCCAATATGCTAGAGGATTCTGTGAAAGTATGATGAAACGAGAGCTTAAGATCGTAAACCCCTTCTGTAGAGGAAGAGTTGTTTATATATTAAACACGATTAGGGTTTCATTAGGGTTGGGCCGTCATTAGTTGCTTTGGAAGCAAGCAATGTTAATCTGAATTTAATGAGGATTTAGGGTTACCAAAAACTAACGAGTTTCGTTAGTTCTACCATAATCACCCTCAAGAAATTGAATTTTCAATTATGTTACCATAATCACCCTCAGCGGGACCCCAGCCAGGGGCTCTGCCCCTTGGACCCCGCTAGGGGCGCTGCCCCTAGACCCCGCCAAAGGGGCGCTGCCCCTTTGGCTTAGTTTTTGTTTAGAGTCGTTAGGTTTTGTAAGCTATAAAAGCCTTCTGTTTTCTAAATAAAAGTGCAGCAACATAGAGTCACAAAAATCTCATCTTCCTCCCTATATTCATCTTTCTTGAAAATCACGTATCAAGTGTTGTTTTTGTATTGTCTGTTCCTACAGTAAAGTATAAATTAAAGGGCCTAATTTCCAAAAAAAAAAATGTCACATCATCATGTTCGTCACACTCATCATCTCTCCTTAGTAAGATAAGTGTTCATAATCTTCTCCTCGTGTTCATTACACTCTTTTTCATGATGAACTAAAAACGATAACCATGAAATCTTGAGATAAATCTAGAACAAACCAGTTAATTTCTAAATAAATTTGATTTTGAAATCCATAATTTACTAAATATAGATAAAATCTTATACTTAAAATACCCCTATAATTTATTTGACCAAAATTTCTATGAAAAAACTAAATTATGTTTTATAAAGCATTTCGTATATTTAAGGTAAATGTCTACATTAGCCGGTTTTCCATGATATTTATTAAAGCTACATCGTTGGTATAACTCGTGATAAATTCTTTATGATTTCGTTAGGTTATTTATTACTAACATATAATTATTCTTTGTATAATTAACATATCATCCATCACCACCTAACAAGCATTTTGATTATTTTGGTTTTCAATTTTGTTAGTAGATCGTAAAACAACAACATATAAACTAACTTCCAAATTGAAAATGAAAAACAATAAAAAAAATATTAATATTTTAAACAAAAATAAAAACTCTAATATGAAAACATAAATAAATAATAAAAGAGTAAAATGAACAAACAAATCAAATGAAAACCATTATAATAATATATTTGGTTAAAATGTCTATAAAAATTTATTTCACATGTCATAATCTTTAAATTAGAGTTTTATGTGTCTTCAAGTCCTTATTTCCACGTCTTACTTTTAAAACCTATTAATATAATCTACATTTATAAATTATATAGGTCTATACCAACCAATTAAATATCATAATTAAAAGACTTTTAAGTAAAACTAAAAAGTTTTAGTATCAAAATAATATTTAATACAATCATAAAAAACCATTTGTAATTAAGAGATAAGTTAAAAATTATGAGTTTTAAATAAATATAATGGAAGTAGTTTTTTTTATATCTATTATAATAAATATGTAGATATAAATATGAATTTGATTAATTGATTAAAAAAATACATATTCTTAGAAAGGCTCGTTTTTTACCTCAAACTTTATCAATGGTATTCTATGTAACAAGTGTATAAGAATAACAAATTAGGTCCACATAAGAATCACTTCATCAAAGAATACTTCAACAACGAAAGCAACTTTTAAGTGGTCTTAATAATACTTTTACGAATATGCTCCAAAGGTATGTATATGTACAACATATTTTTTATTCCAAGCAAATTGACATAGGTACCATATTTTTTTATTGGAGGTAAATGGCCAAACATTTCCGAATCTAACTGGCCATAGAAATCGAGTTTGTTAATTGTCATATCGAAAAAATAATAATAATAATAATAATAAAATTTAAAAAAATAAAGGTGTAGGTAAATGTAAATGTTCGTACTTACAATCTTTGTTCAAAGCTAATGAATTTTTTACTAATAAATATGACATCCTATAACACAGACTGCAATATATATGGCAAACAAAGGTTGCACGTACTAGCCAATTTTAAGTCGATTCTTATGCCAAACCAGTTCTTTTAAACTATCAAGACTTAATATATGCAAATACACTTTCCGACTACTTCTATATGTAGTATATTTTAAGAAGCTCTATATATAATTTAATTTATGAAAATTTATGTTTATTCAAAAGACCTGGTTGAAATTCCAACCTTAAAGCAGTTCCAACTTCGTTGTAAACTATAAATTTCTAACAATGCACTATTAAAATCCCAATCATAATGCAGCTGGAATGGAATACTTCTATGAAATGGTCAAGGGGATTGCTTTCTATGGGTGTTGTTCTGGTGGAAGAAGAGGACTGATGTTGTATATGTTGTAGTTCAAGATGAAGAGATATATAAGAGAATTAGAAGAACGACCAAAGAGTTTATAGTCCAGCAATATTAAGTGGTGCTCTATCTTTCTCTCTGTGAGATCAAAGGTTCAAGTCTCGTTGAAGACCTAGATGAAATTATGAATAATTTAGAAATAGATTATATGTGTCTTTCAAAAAAAATAAAAAAACAAGTAATTAACTGGTATATTTAGTTTTCAAATAATGTTCAGATAACGACATGTATTCTCAAACTAATCATTGGTCATTTATTGCTATATCCTTTACTATATCACTTATGTGTGAATATTTTTAACATTGGGTTTATTTAATATTTTTAACATTGTAGTTTTTTGTAAAGATTTTATGCAGGAGGACTAGTTTTGACATATTATTCATTTATGTGGACTACGACTCACTTTGTGAGAAAGTCATTAGAAGAAAAGGTGTTGGTTTTATCCATTGATAATTTGGGTGGAGTTTACCCGGTTCATATTCGATAGTTTGCCCCGAAGTATATATTCTTGTGTGCTGTGTATGTTTCAAGCTTACACACTTCATTTTTTGTCACACACACTTAGATATTTTTCTATGTAATATTTAGATTTTTCTAGGGTTTGTTCATAGTCTTTGTTCTTCTATTCTTCATTTGTAGATTAGTTTGAGTGTAGATTAGTTGAGATGTATAGTGAGGATTCTTGTACCGAGAGTTTGAGTGAATTTGTAGTGAGGTTGATTTGTAACTTCGTTCAAAACCAACTGGTTCTTTATGAATACAAACTGTTGATGTTGTGAAGTTTTATGTTCTTTATCATTTTGTGTTTCTTTTGATGGTATCAGAGCCGGTTTCTAGCCGGTTCTGGTTGTTTTTTCTGAGAAATTGGTGTGTTAAAGCTGAAACGAATATGAATATTGGTTAAAGTTTAACCTAATAGAAAAAAGATAACATTAAGTTGAAACGAATATGAATATTGGTTAAAGTTTACCTTAAAAGAAAAGATAACATGAAGGCACCTCATGTTATTTTTTATTTTATTATTATTATTATTATTATTAAAGAGATGGACGAGAATGCCAGCCGTAAATAGATCCCTAAGTCCTTAAGCATATGAAGGAATATACGCTGCTATACAAGTGTGTCTTTAGCTAATAAAAATATGAAGTATTAAATAAATAAAAGTTTGGCATGGATGGCTGCTTCTCGCATGTTTGTTGTATTCGAGGCTTGAAACTACTCTAATAATATATCATATTCATGTACTAATTCAGGATTTCGTTCCTTTTTTTTTCTTGTAGTGGAGTTGCCATAAAAACCTTCACATTTGCACAAATATTCTATTTTATCATCAATCTACTTTTATGTTCATTAATTTCAATTATACCCTTTTACTTGTGATCATCAATCTACTTTTATGTTCATTAATTTCAATTATACCCTTTTACTTGTGACAACAAGTTTTTTTGGTTACCATTATATTAAAATCCTAAAAAACCTTTAAGTTTATAATCTTTTTTTTTACA